CAGCTGCCACCGCACCGCAAATGGCTGCACGTGCAGCAGGGCTCAATTCCTCGTGTTTCTTGCGACCAGCCGTCAAGATGCGGCCCAAATCGGTCAAATTGAGTGCCATTTGGGGAAGTTGTGGTGGTGTGAAAGTTTGAGGATGATAGTGGACGCGTCGAGGAGACGCGTAAAGTGGGTGGGGTGGTAACAGACTTTTGGAACCCACTGTAGTTACAGTACATAAGATATAAGAACCCTGTCAGGTACCCATTTCTCAGTATATCGAATTGTCTCCCCATTCAAATCTATGACTAACTGGAGCCTCTTTGGCGTTGACTGAGCTAGTTCCAGTAGATATTCCTCTGGTACGGCCTCCCAAGCTTTCTGTATCTTAGCTCTCAGCTCCCACTGCGACAGTATCTGGATATCACAGTTATGTTCGATCCAAATTCGTCATCCAGTACCATACATTCTCAATGGGATTCAGATCCGGGCTGTTTGCCGGCTATTAATCCCCATCTCCCGAAGAGCTTGCTGTCACGGGTCGTGACAGTGTGAGGTTCATGTGCGCAACTCCTGGTTCGACTGGACAGTTCGAACCACAGTCCCTCTTTTGAGGGTGTTACGCAGTGGTCAGTTGCGCCCACCCGCGACACTTGCTGCGTAAGCCGAGCTCTATTGACGGTCCTTCTCGCCTGCCGGCAAAGCCACCCCAAAGGTACTCCAAAGCACTCTGCGAGACTACAGTATGTCTTCGTCTGTTCTGGCCTCTTCACATCATCACCAATCCTTCTTAACGCGCCTCACTGCAGCTTCAGCCGTCCGCGACTACCGGTTTGTTCACTCCCAGAAGCCTGTCCTCAAAGCAGACATGCTCAGCCGAAAGCTCCTCATGGATCGCTATATCCGGTCCGCTTCCGAAGTCTCCGATCCTTTCTAATCCCACTACGCCTTCTTCGCCGACGCCGACGCGAAAATAGACCCCATGAGAGACGCCTTCATGACTTACCTGCCAGTGAGGCAGGTTTACTCGCGAGAAGAGAGGCAACAGCGATACAAGGAGTTTAACCTAGGGAAGAAATCACAGCAGGTATCCAAGTTTGTGGACCGATCGGTGCGAATGATCGTTTCGATACGGGCGGTCTGGTCTTGGTACTTCCAATCGCCGTCATGTACTTGCAGCCGTCGCTGGCGAAAAGCCTGATTACAGTATCAGCAGCAGTATCTCTATTTGCGTTTGGGCTGTCGTTTGGGGTTCGCGTCACAAATGCAGAGACGTTGGTTGCAACGGAGACGTTGGTTGCAACGGAGACGTTGGTTGCAACGGAGACGTTGGTTGCAACGGAGACGTTGGTTGCAACGGAGACGTTGGTTGCAACGGAGACGTTGGTTGCAACGGAGACGTTGGTTGCAACGGAGACGTTGGTTGCAACGGAGACGTTGGTTGCAACGGCGACGTACGCTGCTGTGTTGGTGGTGGTTGTGGGGTTCTCAAATCCGCAGACGCAAGGCTGATGAACTTGTTACAAATCTCTCATAGCTTCGTAAAGCACTCCGGCGATCGGTGCCGAAAGCAAGACTGTTCGGCATTCAGGACCAGAACTTGGCGCAAAGGACGACAACCGGGCATCTTTGTGGTGCAAGCGGACTACCCGTAACTTAGGACTGTGCGTTCTAATTTCGGTTCTGCTAAAAGGGTTAACCAGCTCGTCTGTAAAGAGAAGCATTGTTGGCATGGGCGGCATCGCACGGGGCACTCTCTTTCAACAAGACCAACGAGACGGTGACAAGATATGCTGTGGCCCTCGGGACACGGGAGGAGCAAAATCCATACACAGCAGGATGAGTCGATGAATCAGCGGGTGCTGGCAGGCTACGAGAAGGCGCTCGAACGTGACCGCACATCGACTCTCAATACGGTCAACAACTTGGGCAACCTCTATAGGGATCAAGGCCGGCTGACGGAGGCCGAGTCGATGTTTGAGCGGGCGCTGGAAGGTTACAAGAAGGCGCTCGGACGGGACCACACATTGACTCTCACTACGGTCATTAACTTGGGCAGTCTTTAACGTTGGATGTAGATAGCTGCGAGTAACTGTTACTAATAAACGTTAGTTATCTGGTTTTATTAGACCAGATATTGTCTGCCAAGAGGATGTTATGGATCAGATGTATCGAGGGATGCGGCGCCGATTGGGATCTTCTCACCAGGGCGGGCTTGAAGACACTAGCATCAGCAGGAGATAATACATATCGTGTAGAAGAAATATCAAACCGTCAACTACTTCCTCACCAAATGTAAATTGACTCGGATCTGCATGCCTTCATCCTGCAACGTTGACCACCTGAACCCAGTCTTCCGGGCATTCGCAACTCCTCGAGTAATTGGCGGACTCAATCACGCTGATGAACATAACCAACCTGGCACTGCACTTAACTCAATACACAATTCGCCAAAGGCATCACAACCCCATGATTCTTCCATCTAATGTGAGACATTCGCCGATCTCCAGGGACGCTCAGTACCACCCAGTTGGAGCCAGGGCCATTTGCCGCCCCTTGCCGTTAAAGGCCGCTGTCTGCGATAGGGCCACCCTCTCCTTCGAAGTCTGGTGCACTTTCCGAGTCCACGCAGGTGTCAATAGGGTATTATATTGAGACAACAGCCGAGGCAGGCAGTACATTTTGATGGCATCGCAGAGCGGGCGCTTTGCGAACACAGTGTAGCTCCCGCCGTACTCTGGAGCGAATAGCTTGACGCCGGCATCCTTTAGCTAAGGGGGTTTGTGCCTCGGCAGCTTATGTAGCCCGGTCCTGCTTCTCCGTGGAGACAAGGAGATGGAAGCGGTGCTGCTTCCCAGGCATTGTTGCCGCCGCCGCCGAGGCCTATTGCGGTTTCGGCGAGGTGCGCGCGAGGTCTGCAGTCGTTGGGAGTGAGCGGATCACAGGAGGGCGCCGGAGTTCCCCAGTATCGGTCAGCTGGCTTGAAGGGAACTCACCGGATGGGCTGGCGGTTCTGTGACATCATCAAGACAGATCAAGATACCCCCGGTCGAGTCATGATCTTCGGACTACGGAACGGCCGTGTCTAGCTCTTCGTTAAGTTCCTCGGTCGACTCATTTGGAGGGTTAACCTGCTCGGTTCTCTTTTCAGCACAGTCTTGGTCAGCTAGCTCAAGGGGAGCTCACAGGGGAGTGGGTTATAAGCCGGGTGACGAGACAGGGCGATGATGAGCTGAAGTGACGAACAAGATGAGTTAACCTCCCAAGGGGAGGGGGAAGCGGGTCAGAGGAGGCGGCCTTGCTGTAGGCTGCTTGTAGGAGCTGAACATTTACAGCGCTTGGAACAGTTGGGCAATGAACTCGGGCTGTTCAGGGAGGCCGTGGCGTGAGGCCTATCTGCGGGCTGATCACAGAGGCTGAGCACTCAACGCGTGATGACGGCCGCTTGGATCGACTGAGAACTTTGATCCGATTGGGAGGGCTGTAGCGTTGGCCTCGGCAGCCGAGGTGAGGGACTTTGAGATGGTGGGCAGCTCGCGAAGCCTAAGACAACGATGAAACATTAGTTTGATCAGTCCAGTGCTTGCCGGCGAGTATGAGGCAACGCGACGCACCACGCCGGAACAAGGCGGACCGCTTGGGAGCCACCCGACGTATCACCGGGGCTGGGACGACCGCGCGTGTTAGGCAGCCTGGTACTTCCCTGGGAAGCAAGGATGTCGAGTTGGGTGGCCAGAAACAACACCCCGTACTGCGAAGTCTGAGCTCGTTCATGCAGGGGCTGGCAAGTACGTTTGCTCTTATCAGCGGCTAACCCGGCGGAGGCTGCCGCAGTTGGCACGCGGCATGCTCGTGCTTGACGATCCAGCGTGTTCAGCTCTCTGCCAGCTTGGGCCCAAGTCCCTCCGTCCATGCGCTTATATATCGAAGGTTCTCAGAGTTACGCCACGAAGACACGAGTCCTAAGCGGCAGAAGGGACAGAGTTTGGAACACGTATACAATCTGTACCCACCAATGTCTGCATGTTGAGATGTTTGTAGTGATGGAAGAGTGCAAAAGAGAGAAGAGAGAAGATGAGATAGAAAGAGAGAAGGTGGAAGCATTGGAGAAGGAAAAGGGAGGGTAAAGAACACGTGTTGGAAAACGAAAAGAGCAGGAAAATACATATCCCCGAGAGCATGCTCATAACAGAGGTCTACTCTTACTAAGTGCTATTCCTCTCTGCTGCTAAATTTGTTTACAATGGTTTGTAACGCCTTGACCTTGTATGTAACGGTCCCAGGAGTATATTGCAACTAGCTGGTAACGACTCTACGTGTGATGGGCTGAGCCCATGATGGCCTCGGCAACCCTCGGCCGTGGTATCATGATAACGTCATCCTGAGGCAGGCAGTGTCTGTGTGTTCCGGAGCATATAAGAGCTGCCCTCTCTTCCTGTCATCTAGTTCTCTCTTTTCTTTTCGCTCTCCATTCGGAGCAATCTAGTCAATCATTGCCCCGCCTTGTGCATCATCTCAACGCCAACGCGTGGCCTGATCAACATCTAAAGAACCTAGGGAGCTGAGAAAAACGAATCTAGGCTTCATTATAGTAAAAGGGAGAAAGTTTTACAATGTAGGAGATCCTCTCACTATAACTAGTCGAAACTTGAAGGAGAAACTAGGAAAAGTTGTACGGACAAATTTGGTGAGCTATCACTCCAGAACATCCGAGACAAACTGGAAGACGAAGCCCAGTCGCTCGAGCAGCGATATCGCCTGGCGTCGAGGGCAAATGAGGCAGCCAAATGGCAGAGCATCAGCTCAAAACTCATCGAAGCCGAACAGCTCGAGTCCCGGCAAGCACAGGTCGGTCAAATTAAAGCCAAGTGTACCGAGTTTGGCCTTGCCAACATCGACGCTATGGGCAACCTTTAGGAGGAACAGGAACGGGAGCTGCCCCCCGAAGTCGAGCGGGAACGGTAAGTCGAGCGTCCGCCCGCGAACTAGTTAGGAGACCAAATCTTCCCTTTCCTCGAACGGCTTTGCCATGACAGTGCTACGCAGAGCTTGAGTACCGTACCGAGCAGCCATCAGCCCTCCTTCCATCCACACCAATACCTTTCACCTCCTTCCTTCCCTACCAACACTTTCCTCGCAAGGCACAACGCTACCCCTCAAAATCCCCCCCCATCAAATTTCCCCTGCCAAGAACCTCCCGACATGTGTCCTCCCGATATCTACACAATCACTCTTGACCGTATTCACCAATACCCCAGAAAGCCTACCGGACTGCTCCCGAACCGGCACGCCTTATAACCCTCCCCGCCGTCCTTCCCCAACAACACGCGCTAGCCCGAGGTACCGGCACAGCTGGGCGTAGTCGGCTTAGGAGCGGAGGGAGAGTTGGCCCGCGAAGAGGTTGAGTTAAGTGATGAGGTGGGGATTAGGGGCTGGGGGCGGGTGTGGGGGTGCGAGGGATGGTGTATGTTGTTAGGTCTTCTAGGGTGGAGAAAGAGAGGGAGATGCGCGGGAGGTAGCCTCGGAGGTGATAGGTACCTAGGCAATATTGTTCTCCACGGCTGCGACGATTTGAGTGCCATTGCTTCCCTTGATGTCACCGCTCGCCGTGTTGCTCTCGGAGCTGTCGTCGTCCCTCACGACTGCTCGCTGGCGTCTCCTGTACGACAAGCAGTCAGTGGCCGAGAAAATCGAAAATGTGCTTCCTATTTCCTGACGGAGACTCGGGTCGGGTGCTCACTTGATAGTTTCCTTGTCCTGCAGCACCTTCATGAGAGGAATGAGGATGAGACAGACGGCGCCCATGCACGACGCCGTGATGAAGCCCTTGCGATAGCGCGGGGCCTCAATCTGCTGCCAGACAATCAGCGGCAGCCACGTCGCGACAACGCCGACCATGGTGTTCATGGTGGCCAGGACGATGGCGCGCTCCTCGGTGTCGTCGGTGCAGATCTCGTTGGCCCACCTGTGCAAGCACCCAGCACGTTAGGACACCCTGTACGCCTCACGGGAAGGGGCAGCCATCACGCTAGACATGGGCCGAAACTCACGTAAACACGATGCCGGACAGGCCAACGTGTTGACCGGCCAGGTAGTAGCAGGTCCATTTCCACCCGTCCGGGATGTACCATGCGGCGAGCGAGGCCCAGGTGATGAGGTTCAGGACGGCGCCAAACAGGAGAATGGGCCAGCGGCGCCCCTTGAGGACCGTGTCCGAGATCCAGGCATACACGACAGCGGAGAAGGCCTGGACGGCAAACACGCCGCTGGGATACAGGTTGATCTGCTGGACGGTGAACTTTGGGTTCTCGTGGTACTTGAGAAACTGCGGGAAGATGGGCGTGCCGCTTGTCCCGCTGATAAAGCTGCACGAGAAAAGCCAGTCAGATTTCCAGGGTTTGCATAACGCGCACCGGGCTGCACAGGCAGGGCGTGGTGTTGTTCCAGGTTGGGAGACGACATACATGTAGTACAAGCTCAGAAGCCAGATGTGCCACGACGAGACCACCATCTTGACCTTTGCCACGGTAAAGGGAGCACGAGGCTTACGGTCCTCGAGCACCATGCGGTGCTTAGCTAGAGCGATCTCCTACGCAGGGTCATGGTCATTAGCGGCTCGAGTCCAGTCGGGACTGGACATCTGGAGGAGGACATGACACGGAGAAGCAACCTGGGAGTGGGAACCTACCTCCTCCGAGAAGACTCTCGTCTTGGCGTTCTGCGGCAAGTCTGGCAGGAAGAAGAAGCTGCCAATGGCTATCGGGAACGAAATCACGCCGTCGATGATGAAAAGCCTAAATTCGTGGGCGGTCAAGGTGTGAGTGAGCGGATCAAATAACTCATGGGGCGCACGATGTTTCATATCCCTGGTGGGCCGCAACTGCAAGACTGACCATTTCCATCCAGGCAGCCCGCCGCGCCCGCCGAGGCTTGTGACAGCGGCCATCAGGAAGCCGGAAAAGAGCATGGCGATAGAGCCGCTGGCGTTGAGGATGCAGGCCCGCTTGGCCATCTCGTCCTTCCGGTACCAGGAGCCGATCATGTACTGGAGCCCGGGATAGTACCCGGCCTCGGCGAGACCTGACGACGGGAGAAGCTGAGGTCAGGCCGGTTCGTTCTTCGACGCGGAAGAACCGGGGGAAAGACAAACCAATTAGAAAACGCACGGCGTAGAGCTGCGTGTTGTTCTTCACCGCAGCAAGACAGAACGTCAGGACGGTCCAAATAACCTGCACGTACGGTACGGTGTCAGACACGCGACATCGGACTGTTGAGTGAATTCGAATGAAAGGGGGCCAGGTGGGTGCGTGCCTGCAGCGCTGGGATATAAATGGATGGACGGATCCGGGTCAGCAGGATGTTGCTGGGAATTTCGCCGACGATGTAACCGACGGTGAAGGCGGTCATGGCGTAGTTCAGCTCATTGCCGAACATGTCGAGATCTTCCTTCCTGCACGCTTTGTCAACTTCCAACCTTCTCGCCTTGGCAACTGTGGTTCATTCTCTTTGTCACTTACATCCCAGACACAAAGGCATTCGTGAGATTAGTCTGGTTCAGAAACTTGCTGAAGAAACCTGTTCCGGGATTGTTCAGCAACAAACGCTCCCCGGCGAGATAACCTCCCCCCTTCTCCCCCTTTTCGATAACCGATCATATGATAAAAGATAGCATACCGAGACAGCCGAATGTCAGCAGTGTCAGGTCCAGCTTGAGCAAGAAGCGCCGCTCCTTGGGCGACTTATCTAGACTGTCCCAGACATGGCGCTTCCAAGTCTTTCCCTTGGATCCCACGTCGACTCCCGCCGACTCCGAGTCTCGAGTCATGTTGCTGGTGGTGTCTCCGTAACATAAGGCCCTTGGGTAGGCACGTTGGTGGTTGGTTGCTGAGTGTCAGTGGGTGATGTTGGAGGACTGGAGATGTAAACTTGCAGAGTAAGACGTCAAAAAGCACTATATTGCCATTTCTTTGGGTGCAGAATTGCGAAACTCATTTTGTCGCGATACACTATCAGAATGACGAAGTCCGCTTGGGTGCCTGGGTTACCAGATTGCTGGATAAGGGGGGATGCCCGATGCGGAATTTCCAGTCCGCAGCGGGGGCAAGAAACGCTCCCAGCGCTCCCAGCGAGCTGATGACCTGGCTGCCTTGGCCCCCGCGTTTTTACCTTCTAGGGCTATCGGATTCCGACCTGTCAGCACCGCGCGTCTTGCGCCATAGCTAGCTGCCTCTACATCATCGAGGTTATCCCCGGTTCCCTATGTGCTATCTCGGTCACGCGCTTCGACTGGAATTCTCTTCGGGGATACCGCTCTCAACCTGCCCTGTGTGACAGTGACACAACCTGAAGGAAGCCTTACTTCCCACCTGACTCCCGCCCGACCCTTCATTGACCGTCGCACGCCCGCCACGACGTCAGAATAGGGAGGGATCAGAGACCGCAATCGCAAAACCGAGAGGGATGCCGTCCGCAATCGCACGGCAACTTCGCGTGGCTGTCATCGGCACCGGCCCGGCCGGCCTGTCGTCGGCCATCGCCCTGTCGGAGCTGTCCGACATCGACCTGCGCGTGTACGAGAAGGCCGGCGAGCTGAAGAACCTCGGGGCCGGAATCAGCGTCAACCACAACGGATGGAAGGTGCTGGAGCTCCTGGGGATCCGAGACCGCGTCAATGGAGCCTCGACCAACCCGACAGTGCAGAGGTGAGTCCCCCCCCTCCCAAAATTTTGTTCCCGTGAATAATATAATCTTATGCCACGACGTTTTATGAACTCGATCATTGTTGTTAACCTGGAGATTTTCCTTTGCCCTCACACAAAGGAACGCGTACACGGGCGAGATTGTTGACCCTGGCGTACCCCATGACCCGAACAATGCCTATGAGGCCCGCCGGGTGAAACGTCTGGTGCTGCAGGAGGCATTGGCGGCCAAGGTCCCTGAGGATGTGATTGAGTTCAACAAGAAGCTTGTCGGACTGGAAGATCTCGGCAAGGACGGCGTGAGGGTGTCGTTTGAAGATGGCACCGAAACCATCGTAGATCTCGTTGTGGGCGCCGATGGAATCCGTTCGGTAATCATCACCATCTACCCTCTCCACGCTGCAACCAACGCTTTCATGCGAGGCTGTTGCGAGGGACTGTGACACTGACTCTATACTACGCAAAACAGGTAGTCAGGAGACATATGGTACCGGACTACGCTCTGGACTATGCGTGTGGGTGCCAAGCAGCCCTGTCTTGTCCGCTTGTCTGTTTCCCGCAGGAGAAACTCCACGGACGGCATATCAACTCTATCTACTAACGTGAAAATGTTCTCCTGACAGACCAAGTCGGCTGGCGCTGCCTGATTCCTGCCGAGCGGCTGAAGCACATCCCGGACCTGCCCCTGACGACAACCAGCTGGTGGTACGGCAGGGCCAAGTCAGTCTGGCTTTCACCGCTCGACGCCGATGTGTCGAACCTGACCGACATCGAGTTCACGGCTCGTGTGTTCAACGAGCCCCCGATTCCCGGGAAGACGGTGAGCTGGGGCATACCAGTCACCAACGAGGATGTGTTTTCACGGTTTCGCGTGAGCCTTTTCCCCCCTCTCTCCTGAGAGCAGAGCATGATCCTCGTTGTTGCGTTGCAACTTGCGCCACTGACAAGGACCAGGATTGCGACCCGCGGCTGGTTGAAGTCTTCAAGCAGGTACCAGAAGGCAACTGGACAGAGTTTGCCGCCTACGCCGGGCCGGTCCCGGACAGTCTCGTTGCCTGGGACAAGCTGGTTCTCATTGGCGATTCCAGCCATCCTTCTGCCGGTACCTCAAGCTTTCTTTGCTGCTGTTGCCTGGGGCGCGTGTGGACAGAGCTAACGTAGTGGCGGCACGCAAGGCGGCTTCGGGTCTGGATCGGCCTTTGCAATGGAAGACAGCTGGACTTTGGCGCGGTCCATCGAGTACGCCCGATTGATTACGGCTCCGGATGCGATCCAGAGCACAGTTGCCGAGGCCCTGAGAATATTCAATGCCATCAGGAGGCCCTACTACCAGGCCATGTAAGTAAAATTTGCTCGAGGTGCCTCCAATCAAGGGTCACTGACGGTGGGTGCCAGGGCCGACTTCCGGAAATCGCAGAAGGAGGTTCTCAAGGAGGTAGGGCGGAAGGAGTATGTCGACTTCGATAGTGACCTGAGGAAGAGGTTTGCGAGAGACGGCTTGGGGGCCAAGCGAGGAAAGGGGTTCCTGGCATTTGTGTATGATCACGACATTGGGAAGACGTGGAAGGAGTTTGTAGAGTGTGACCAGGCGCGGCGTAAGGGGATTAACGGGTACGCGCAAGCGGATGCTTGAATTAGGCACCTAGACATAGGCAAAGAACGCGATGTTATTGTCTGACGCACCACTGGTTGCTTCAACTCTATCCACCTGTCGTGTCTGACCAGATGCGGTCAGTTAGAAGTCTTGCCCGATCATCGCCAGGACCTGGGCATTCCGTCCCGGCATCAAGGCTTACAGCTGACCGAAGATGCCTTCCAGGTTAACATGTGAAGGTAATGTACCTACACCCTTCAAAGTTGACGCAACAGACAGTTCACACGAATAATATGTCTGATGTCCCTAGCGTAAGGTACTTGATGGACGAGTCATAAGTGAGTTGTAGCTTTCTCATCAGTGGCATTACGACAACGCTAGATCAGGTATCTAGGAACTGGTTATGAATAGAACACATCTGAGATAACACGGTTAGACGATTCTTAGACGATTCTGCAGCCTCCTGGCAAATGCGTGTGTGCCTACGAGCTCTTTCTTTTTCCTCCGAAGCGCTTGATTTGCAAGATAGAGCGCCATCTAAAACCCGCCGAGTCTTGCGCCTGCAGTATCTCGCTGCTCTCTCACACCCCCACTGCTCCTAATTACCTCCATCCTGCTGCGTTCCCTGCAGTGCGCTGCCTCCCGCCTTCTCGTCTAGGAGATCATATGCATTTATTTTGCTCGGCAAATGAGCCTCTAATTCAAGCTGCCGACGTGTTCTCCCAAAGCTCCGGCGCTTTCTTAATACCTCATCGGCCTTACAGAGCGAAGAGACCTCCCTCTACTCGAGGGAAGCCACCAGGCACCATACCGGCTAGGTCATCTTCCCAGTCAGGTTCCACACCAGTGACGCCACTCACTTAATCTTGGTAGAGATCCTTCTATAACCGGCTCAAGAATGTACCTTAGTGAAAGGTGACGTCCTCCTCTGATTGGGTGAGCACTCACACGAATTGTGCGCTGTATTAGTGTCGTGCAAAGTCGGCCAGAGCCAGCGTCGGTCATGGATGGTTCAAATCGATTCGAGCTACCACTTATTGCAGATCCTAATTAGGTAGGGAAAGTTCAAGACTCCAGTCGCATGTCATTGAGGTACCGGGTAAGGTAATTAGCCACGACTGGACTTGTGGCGTGGGACAGTGAAAGAGGAGTCCAAAGGTTCTACATATCAACAGCCGAGTTCACCCTTCAGTATCGTGGGTAATTCTGGTTACCTAGCTATTCATTGCAAGGTCCCTATGTCGCTGGATGCCCCAAACTCGAGCTACCCATCCAACTTCTAGGTACCTGCCAGATATGTCGCTAGACCGCCTCCCTAACGAACTCGATGATCGCCTCATATGACTTCTTTGCCTCGTAGTGGAAGTTTAGATTATGCCCGCCCTCGAAGTCCCCATTCACCTCCACCTTGGGGGAGCCAGTGAACAAGGCGGCCGTGCCGTCCAGCACTCCGCCACAGTTCCCTCCACACGCCGTCAAATCATACCTCCCTTGCACAACCTAGGGGAAAAAAGTCAGTCCAAATTCCTCTTGTATTGGTTTCATTGCCATCATTCATCATAAATCAAAATCAATCGATTTCCCCCCATCTCGGAAAAACCTGAAAACATTTGGAGAAGAAGGGAAAAAAGGTGGCAAAGAGAAAGATATAGGAAAGAAAGGGGGAGAAGAGGAGAAGAAAAGGGGGCATACCTGCACAGGCACGGCAATCGACCCAAAATCCAGCGCCCACGCGCCCGCCGTCAGCGCCTCGCCAATGGCGTACGGGCTCTGGTGCTCGTACAGCCACTCGGCCACGCGGCGGTCAAAGAAGGGGCTGCGGAAGCCGCCGTACGCGGCCGCGTACGCGTCGACGGGCACCATGTAGCCGTGCGGCAGGTGCGCCCACTTGTGCGGGAACTGCAGCGCCGCGACGCGCGCCTGCCCGCCCGCCGTGAAGAGGCTCAGCCACTCGAAGCGGCCCGAGAAGCCCGTCAGGACCAGCGCGTCGCCGGGGGCCGGGTGCGGTAGGGTGCCCGGGGTCGTCGTAGTACCCGGGGGCGCGGTGGCGAGCGCCGCGGCGGCGACGAAGGCGCCGAAGGAGTGGCCGATGTGCACGACTTTGCGAATGGGCGTGTTGAGCGTGTACGGGCTGCTGGAGCGTTGGAGGAGACGGGTGAGCGAGTTGAGAATGGCGACCTGCGGGGCGAATTGCACTTGGGTAATGGGTGAGGGTCTGAGTATGGGGCAGGCCCACGGGTTTGTCGTGGTCTCTTGTTAGCTACCAGTTTGGCACTATCGAGGAAAAGGTGGGTGTCTTTCAGTTGGAAACGGGAAAGCACATATAGAAGTACATACCGGTCCGATGTTCCCGATCCGAGGCGGTCATAGAAGAAGACGGAGTAACCCGCATCGAGGGCGTGCTGGACGAAATTGTATTGCTCGGAGCCGGCGAAGACGGGGTTCCAGTAGCTGTGGCAATCAATCAATCACAATGGTCAGGCCCAGCGCCAGGCCTCGCTGCCCGTCATCGCTGACAAAGACGCGTGGGATAACGGATTGAATATGATCTTACCTCCGATCCACCATCGAGCCATGCGTCAAGAGCAGGACAGTCTCGGACGTCTTTCCACGGGCCCGTGGCCTGCAGAATGTCGCACCAATCTTGGAGGTTGTTGTCTCGGTGTGGTTACGGCCGACGGGGTGGAATACCTCGCTTGAATCGCGCCTGGTTGAATTGAAGATGTAGTCCACCAGGTCCCAGTGGGTTTCTATGGAGAGATCAACATCGTAATAGGGGACAGTGACGTTGACCGCGATGTGGAAGTCCTTGCAGACATGGCCGGGACCCGCTGTGGCAGCCACGGCCCCTGGCAACAGCAGGTGTGAAAGGGCGAAGACGGCCGCTCGCAGCATTGCTCAGGCTGTTAAACTTGTCAATGCGAATCCGGGTCCCCTTGGTGCCCCAGGCTGAGTAACTGCTCCCAACATGAAACATGACATCGGGACGGCCGGAAAGGACGGCGGTAGGTTGTCCTTATACAAGGGACGGGATGCCTGACAGTTAGTTAGGTAGGTAAGGCAGGGCAGGTACCCTGTCATCAACCGTCCCCGGTCTGGTGATTATCGGTGAATTCAGTCCGACCTGCCTCCACCCCGAAGCAGGCGGAATCTCCCCCACTCCGAGCACCGGCGTGTTCCGAGACTTCATTCCCGGTCCTTGCTTGTCCAAGTCATGAGCATCACGATTCGACTGCATAAGTAGAAAAATGACATGCTAAGGTATCACACTTGTGCATCGAATCCAATGCTGAAGTGTAGAAGCGGTTTACTTAGTTGTATTATTGCAACAGATACTCGCATCCTGTTCCCTAAATCACACGCTACGCCGGCCCCGTGTTCTTCGGCAGCCACTTGTGCAGCGCCGGAAAGAAGTGCCTGATCAGCCCGGTCAGAATGCATAACGCGGTGCCCCTGGGAAACTTGGCCCTGCCATTGACGTTGACAACCCCGACATTCCGCATGTCATACCTCCCTTCCTTGTCATCCGCAGCCTCGATCATGCCCGCGGCAAGATCCAGATAGGACAGCGGGCTCGACTCGTCGGTAAAGCTGAGCGCATGGCCGCGCTGCACATCGACCGACAGCGCCCCGGGCTTGATGAAGACCGTCTTGACCCAATCCTCCTCGGCCCGCAGCAGCGCCTCGGTCCTGCGCAGGTCGTTGTACACGTTGGACGCCGACCAGAGCAGGATGCGGTGCAGGAGGTCAGGGGTTTTGCGCGAGAGAACGGGGTCGATGGTCGCCGAGGAGAGCAGCACGAGTCTGGGTACTACTGTGGTCGGTGTCTCCATGTCTGTCGTCGCCGGCGGCGCCAGTGGCTGGTGCTTTAGGTTCTCCCGCAGCGCGAGGAGCACGTTGGCGGCGAGGTCCTGGCCGACCCGGAGACCGGGGACGTTGTCATTGGTAGAGGTGACGAGAAAGACGGCGAGAGTCGAGCGGATACATGAGGACAGCAGGGAAACGTCGTCGATGGTGCCTTCAAAGACGTGAAGATGCGGGTTTGTGATGTCCTCGGGGAGCAGGCGGGAGAGTTTGGCCTTGTTGCGGCAGAATGCGTGGACTTGATTATTTGGAGACCGGAGAAGGATCCGGATAAGCGCTGTGCCCGTGTTGCCAGTGGCGCCGAGCACTGCGTAGGCGGGCATGGCGTCTGTCTGCTTGGATAAGGTAAGGTAGGCACGTTTGGAAAATGTCCGGGGAGAAATATCATTGAGGACGATGACTGTACCTAAATGAGCTGTAGACCGGACAAATAATCAGAGACGGCCTTAACCCCGAGGAGCGCACGCTCGGGCTTCGGGACTCAAAAGAGGGCAAGATGCCGGGCAGTTTGTTGGTGATTGGTTCAACATGGTAAGTTTAGGATAAGGCAAGGTATTATGTCATCTGGACGAAGCATCGTAGATCATAACGTCTCGAGTCCAACAGAGCGTACATCTGGTTGCGAGACTGGACAAGATGCGATCACCTCTCCTTTGCACCGTGACCCTGCTCCTGCTGTTGTTGCTGTTCTCTTAGGAAGTTCTGAAACTTGGGAAAGAAGTCATTAAGAAACGCCGAGTCGACCATTTCCTCAATCTTTGCAATGCGCTCCCCGCTTTCGTCAAACGTGAAGAAGACGGCATACTCGTTGGTCCAGCCGCCGAAAGGCGTATTTGCCTTGGACACGGCGTACACCGCAGCTTTGCTGCTGGGCGCGTCGTGCACGATCTGGTGGATCTTGAGCTTCACACACCGGAGTCGTCAGCCCGAAGTTTGCCCCCGTATTCCGCGTTCATCGCATTCGTTTGTGTGCTTCCCGCACAGCCGGGGCGGGCCCAGGCCAGGCGGATGATACTTAGGTAGGTAGGTACTCGAGGTTGCACTCACCTGATAGTCGGTAACCACCTTCTGCACCGACGGTAGCGTCAGCTCGACCTGCGACCGGGTGCGTGGCGGATGGTTTAAGGAGAAGGGCAAGGTGATCTGGGTGCAGTCGTCTGTCCAGTCTGCCACCATCTCAGCCGCCGACCAGTTACTCCAACCGGCGATGAAGCGGTCGAGCGTCGCTCGCTGGACATGGGCCGGGGCAGGCATTGTCTCTTTTGTTTGTGATATTGGCTGTGAGTACCTGGGGTTGCGGATCGATGTGCGTCGACGTTCCAGTCGGCTGTGCTGAGCGATTATATCATTGCATTACAACCACACAGTCCGGTGCTGGATACAGAATCGGTGGACAAGCCCAAAGAGGATCCTCATCGTTGTAAAGCTACCGGGCTAGCCGTACAACGAAGGTGGCAGGGTACATAGGCATGCTGCCCGTTCGGGCACCCCTATTCCGACCGCGAACGAGAGGCGCCAATTCTTTCTGCCGGGGTCTTTCTCGGTGAGCCGGCAGAGAAAACCAGAACATGGGCATGTCTTCCGACGGATGCGTTACCTATGCGAGGCCGGAATTGCACCATTGTGACTACTATCTTTGGATCAAGCACTTCCTCAGAAGAACTTCTCTACGTTGGGGTGCCTGGTAACGCCGGTGAATGCTCCCGCTTCCCGCGCAGCAGGGCGTACTGTGGTAGCGCCGTAGCAGTCGCGACGAGATAAGCGGAAACTTCTAGACGTGGTGGGTGCTTACTCTTTTGCAAATGTACGGGATTGGCGGGCCGGTTATGCAGGGGGTTTCTATTGCATATTGTGCCATCACGACAGATTGTGACGCACTGCTGCCATCTGGTTCAGAGACTCGGAGAGACGAATGTGACGTCCATACCTACGTTGCCGCAACATAACGACGTGACGAGCGAGGCTCAGTATGCGTCGCAATCGCTCTTTTTTAGCAGCCGAGCGCCCCAGAGCTCTGCCATCGACCCTCACTCCGCCTCCCGAGCACCGCTAACACCAGAACCGCGAGCCCGCTCCGATACACCGTCGACCGACCAGCTAGGAGGCAATGGACATATCGCGCTTGGCCGAGATCGAGAGCTGTGCCAACGAGCTTAGTCATGCCGCCAAGACCCTGGCCGAGTACTGTCAGACCGCTCAAACCCAGGTCTCGGACTCGGACTCGTCAACCGGCCTTCCGTCAGTGGCTCCCGACCGTCCCAGCCAGGCTCATCGGGCAAGGAAAAGCATCTTGGCCAGCGTGGCAAGACTGCAGAATCTCATCGCGGAGCCGGGCCGTTTCCTCGAGCAGCTGGCTAGCCAGGTTAGCTCCCGCGCGCACTCGCCGCCAGGGGCTGAGCCCCCCTTTCGACCCCCAACCCCCGCTTTCCCAAGTCGAGTATGGGGGTTACCCCCCCACCCCTCACTCCATGGAAGCTATATACCTGCAATATAAGGTAAGCTGACCAGATTGCCTCATGCAGAACCAGCTCTTGGCATGCCTCCATTGGCTCAGCGAGTTCCAGGTGCTCGCCTGCATTCCGCTCCAGGGCAATGTGCCGGCCAGAGATGTGGCTGAGCTGACGGGAGTGCCCGAGATATTGCTTGTCCGCGTCGTGCGCATGACGAGCACGGCGGGATTCCTGTGCGAGCCCCGGCCACGCCACGTCGCTCACACCCCTTTATCCGCCGGTTTCGTCACCAAGCCGTCGCTGGGAGACGCAGCCGTGTTCCTCGGCGGAACCGTGGGGCGCGCGGCGCTGCACATGGCCGCGGCGACGCAGCGGTACGGCGAAACGGAACGACCGGAGCAGAGTTCATTCGTCCTCTCGGACAAAGCCCAGCAATCTTTCCATCAGGCGTGCGAGCAGCGCCCCAAGCTGCAGCGGCAGTGGGCAGCTTACCGGCGGTGGTTGCTGGACGTCGAAGACAGGCTGGCTGAGCTGCTTAGCCGGTTCGACTGGGAGCGGCAGCGGAGCGCGTGCATTATTGAGGTATGTACAGTACTGCAGTACGGGTACACGGCGTACAGTACTCCCTCCCACCTCTGAACTTTCTGAACTTGGCACTAAGCAACCCCCCGTCCTCCAATGTGTACAGGCTGGCCCCCTACCGTCGTGCATCGTCCGACGCATCGCCGAGCGCAACAGCCACCTCCATATCACTGTCCAGATAAGCGAGCCGTCACTGTTCGACACGGCTCACCACGCGGCGACAGGCGGCACTGGCACGGCCAGCGTCAGGGACCTGTTTGGCGCAACCATCAGCTCGCCTCCATCTCCGGCGTCAGTATCGCCTCCAGTGCCATCCCTCTCTCCATCGCCGCCCTCGCTGCATTCTTCACACGTCAGCGTGCAGCGGAGAGCGACCGGCCAGCCTCAGACGGTGCGCAACGCCGGCGTGTACGTGCTGAATTTGGGCTCACCGTCGACCACGCCGGCCGAGTCCCTGTCGAGCCTGATCGCCAGGGTGACGGCCGAGCTGCTCGCGCACCTGCCCGTCCTCCGCCACAACCGCGGAGCCACCCTTGTCGTGGCCATGCGGCTGCTGCCCGATCCAGAGAGCGCAGATGCCGCGGTCGAGGCCGATGCGCGCACACGCGATCTCGTGCTGCTGCAGCTGGCCAATGAGCGCGACCTCGAAGTCAGCGAGCTTGTCGATCTAATTCAGGCCGTCGGCGACAGGACCGGAAGGCTCACCGTGGTCAGCAGGGCGACGGGGCGGGACAACTCGGTTACGGCTCTGGCGGTCAGGTTTCAAGCTACTGCGTGAAAAAAAAGAAAAGGGGGGGGGAGGGGGAGGGGCTTTCTAGGACAGTAAGCAGAAAATGTAACGATGTGATCTTTGCTGGACAGCAACAGTTACAGGCTCGAATAGGCATAGACCAACCAGGTGACACTGCATCAATTGAGGCACAAGATGAAGCTTGAATTGACTGTCTGAATCATGCGTCATGGTCTGTGTTGCTTGAAAGAACCGAGGGCTTCGGGACCCTCGCCAGACCCTGCTTTTGGGTGGGTGACGAGTCTTCCACCTTACTCCATTGGGCAACCGTGCCCAGCCCCTGAATCCAGGTGCCAAGGAGCCAGTTCAGTTCAACAATCTTTCGATTGTTGTAACTAACGCAAGCCACCCCTGTCGACCGGGTCATTTACGGGTGCTCGCTTAAGGTACCTAAAGGTAAGGTTAAGGGCCGGCCCTCTCAGCCTGAATGACAGCCCTACGATATATCACCCGTCTCCTCCACTTCCGTCCATGCCTAAATAGGTTACCTCCCGTAGGGCTGTCATGGAAGGCGGCGCTGCGGGATCCGCCGTGAGTGTGGAAATGAACCATTAGAGTCGCAGTCGAGGTTTTCGGTGGAAAGACCCCGCCAAGAGTTTCTCTCATGATCACCGCCAGAGGGGAGCTACAGATCCGTGACGACCTTTGGAATCGATCTTTTCCTCCTTCAGATCACCAACCTCAACCTTTACAAACCACTTCATTTTACTACCGATTTCTTTCATTGGAATAGTAGAAACCTATCTAAGCCTATCCTTAAAACCAAACACCTTACCCTTACCTAACCAGTGACCCTGACCGTGGAGGGCCTCACGCCGCCCTCGTGTACCGAGGCGATGCTTCAAGTTTCGGATCAGACCAGCGGTCGCCACACTTGATTCCACTGCGGCTCGACTAAGGCCCCCGCCCGCCCCATGTCTTTCTGGCTTTGCCTCCTCATTGGCTTGAGAGACTCGGGGTCTCTGACCATCCACGCAAGGGACTCTGCAATTCCGACCCCTATTTGGGCGCATTCACAGCAGCGACAGACTGCTCCACCACACGATCACCGCTACTCTCAATCGCGGTACTGTACATCAAGGCTACCAGGTACCTAGCCTTTTTTTGCTATTCTGACAGATAGGCCGTGAAGCCTACTTGGGGTCTACTTGGAAGCCGTAAGCCCGCATGAATATTAAGCCGGAAGGCACAGGGTCGCCGGGGGCTAGAGAGCATCCCACTCTATGAGAATCGAAGCCGAAAACGGCAGTTTCATTCCGCCCTGACATCCCGCCCGACCCTATCCCACTTACCAGGTAGGTGTACCTTACGAAGTCTGATTCATACAGCAATCAATCCCAATACAACCAAACCTCTTGAGGAGCCGCTGGATCCGGCTCCGTGTAACTAGCATAACCAAACGCGCACGTAGATCTAGGCGGCGATGATGCGATCCTCGCTTTTCTCATTGCAAGGTTCACAGTGGCAAGAGGAGATGGACAGTCTGCCGTTTCCGGATGGCAATGTCACCTTTTGATGCGACATGCCCGCCAGGGTATCACCTCGGTGCCTTCACATGCTGCCGGCATCACAGGGGATGAGGACGTACATTTGGAGCTTGAGATCTCGTCAGGGCACCTTCTCCGTATTTCCGAGGGGAGTCTGATGAACTGAACCGGCGAGACACACCAACAGCTGCTGCACTACCACAGTCAATCCGACCAGACCGCAACGCGCCAACGCCACGATGACAAGCCCACTTCCAACAACCAAGACCCAGCCCACTAAACTGCGCGACAGCTGCAATTCCTGCGCCGTCTCCAAACTCAAGTGTAGCAAGGACAAGCCCGTGTGTGCGCGCTGTGCGAAGCGTGACCTGCGTTGCGAGTACTTCGCCACCAGGCGAGCCGGCCGGAAACAGGAATCACGGCAAAGCCCGCAGGACAACAATAACAACAACAACAACAACCACAACAACAGCAGCAGCACCAGCAGCAACAGCAAGAATACCAACAAGGAGGACGACAGCAGCGACGCACGCAGCAGTGTCCACGTCGCCATCTCAGCGACGTCAGACGCCACCAACCGCTTCACGCCGTCATGTGATGTCGCGGATGTGCACATGACCGAAGACATGACCTATCCGTCCCCCTCACATCCGCTGTCTGCAGAGGCTCCTGCTCTGCTGACCGGCAGCGATTCGGCCCCGTGGCGGCTGCTGTCCGCGACAATACCAGGTTCCAACGACCTCTTTGCCTCTTTTCCACTGTCCGACGTTCCAGATCAGCTTTTCAATCCGGCCGTGGGCGATGGGCACAAGAGTATGTTCAACCGAGAGGATGGCGGGTTTGATTTTGGGAATTTCACGGGTTTCCCGGCGCTGGGAGATGACAGGACTCTGGTTTGGAATGAGGTAGAGTTCGACGCCGTCGACCAATTCAGCCTGTCGACCGCATGGGACTCGCCATCCTCGCCATCACTATCGTCTCTGTCCTCGCAGCCGTCTTCCACCTCGTCTCTGACCGCCCTGCCTACCGTCCTCAGCGCGACATCCACCATCACGCAACGCACTTCTCCAGCAAGCAACAGCCCTCCAGCCAGCCATAATTTTGCAGCAGCACCACCAGCGGCAGTTGCAGCAGCATCCACTGGCGCTGGCTGCTGTCTCGTCCGCGCCCTGAAACTCCTCACGGATCTCTTCCCGAGTTCAGCCGCCTCCTGTCCTTGCCAACTTTCATCGTCCTCCTCATCCGGAGCGGCCGAATCTCACCTCGCCACCAAACCAAACCCCACTGGTAACAACAACAACCACCATCACCACAACACATCACAAGACAGTGCGCCGACGATACAGCGCGTCGTGACCAGAAACAAACAGACACTGGAGGCGGTCCAGGCCATGCTGGCGTGCCCCTGCTCCGGCCCGGACAACAGCTACCTCCTGGCCGTCATCTCGCTCGTCGTGCTCAAGGTGCTCGGCTGGTACAAGGCCACGGTCAAGGATCTGCCTTTGGCCACCGCCGCCGCCGCCGCAACAGCAGCAGATGACACGCCCTCGTCCATGTGGCAGCAGCAGCAGCAGCAGCAGCATCAAGCGCAGGACGAACCTGGAAACCGTGATTGCAGCAGCAGCAGCAGCAAAACACATCCAGCAGCAGCGTGTCACGCCGAGCGCGTGCGGGTGGTGTTGGAGACGCAGACGCAGACGGTAATCGACGGGTACCGGCTGGACGGAGACGAGCGGGCGCGGATGACGGCGCAGCTGGTGCTGAGCGAGCTGCACCGCGTGCAGCGGCTGGTCAACCTGCTGGGGAGTCGGCTCCAGCAGGATGCGGGGAATGCAGGGAGCAGCAGCAGCAGCGGCGGCGGCGGCGGTGGCGGTTGGCGGTTTGCCGCGCCGTCCTTCTTCTCGCCCGCGTGGTTTGGCCAGCTGGAGACGGATCTCAGAAAGCGGGTCAAAGAACTGTCGTTGGAGATTGTAGACATGTTGAGACAATGACGAGTGCCACCTCCATCCCTGCGGCGCTTTTTATTTTCTCTTTTCTCTTCCTTTCTTTTTTTTTTTTGGCGTGGCTTGGTGGCATACGGGTGTAAAGCACGTGCAAGGTTGGATCACAGGAGACGAGGCAAGGATTCCTGAGCTAGACGATGGACGGCCTGGGATCATGGCAGCAACTGTAAATTCCGATATCCACGTGGGTGTCGGTATTAGGTTCCTCGTGGGCTGCAAGAGCTGGCCAGTCGGGCAGATATTGGTTGCATTAATGGCCACAGTGCAAGCCAGCCGAGTACAGCCGCAATTCTCTCCACTCAGCTTGCGAGTTCAGACCGGGAGTCGGTGTATTTACAACTCGCCTGATACAAAAACTTGCAATTAGGACCCCTGACTTGTTATTTTTGAGCCTTGAAGCGTCAAGTGTCACTTGCGATGCCCGTTTCGCTGCCTCCAATCCGCCACCCTACCCCGAATTACTCGCATAGCGGTTGAGCCAAGACGACACGGCGACGGCCTAGCCACTTTGCGAAAATTCCTTACACAGCCGGATCCGAACCACGAGAATGGGAGCTGGCTGGGCGACCTGTTCGGGGTCCGATGGCCGGATCCAAGCCCGTTAGCGTTCCGCATCCCTGGGGCCTCACTGACCCAGCCATGCCTGGTTCCTGCAGGGATCGGGGGGAAGGGGGCCAAGGAGCTCAGACAACTTATTGAAGACCATATGCTCCTGACATGCCATCCGTGGTCTCACGGGATGGTACTGCAAGGTACCCCTACAGGCTACGTACGTACACACCAGACTCGGACTGGTCCTGGTGTGAGCATTCCGCCTACCAATCACCATGGTCATTCTCTCTACTCTCGCGCTGTGGGCAAGCCTGTTACACCTCGCGCTGGCACTTACACCACCGCTCGTGCCCTTGGAGAGCGTCCCCGGTGGAGCCGGAAACAACAATTGCGTAAACACGCGCCAGAGTCGTGGATGCTGGAAGGGAGACTTCAACATCTACACGGACTACGACGCGAGGATACCCAAGGGAAGACTGCGGGAGGTGCGTACTGACCTACTTACTCCAACTTGAAACCATTCCTTCCTTTATCCTTCAGGTTTCTTTGTCCTTTGATTTGATGTGCTGACAACAGGACACCTCAGTACCACCTCACTCTGTCCGAGAAGGAGATTGCGGTGGACGGATATCACGCAAACAAGACTGTGTTCAATGGTTCGTGCGCCCTGGATGCTAAGATGAGAGGTCCAGTACCATGCCAGTGTCTAACGAACTCACAGGACAGTATCCCGGACCCCTTATTGAAGCTGATTGGGGCGACACGATTCGTAAGGGCTGACCACGCAGCACCGACCCGCCGCTCGTCCCTGCCACTTTAGGTTACCATACTAAAGTGCGTTGACTAACCCGCTTCTTCAGGCGTCACCGTTCACAACAATCTGACCAACTTCAACGGCACGGCGGTTCATTGGCACGGCATTCGGATGTTTGAGACCAACTGGCAGGACGGTGTACCCGGGGTGACGCAATGTCCGATCAAGGTGCGATACTGTCGGGGGCTCAACCATTTGACCGTCACGTATCATCAATGGGAGCTGACAGCCACTTAGCCCGGGTCCTCTCAGACATACGAGTTTCGCGCGATGCAGTATGGGTCATCGTGGTATCACTCGCACTTTAGCCTGCAGTGTAAGTAATTGTGAAATGCTCTGGCGGAGAACGAGGGGGTATGTGCTGAACCAACTGTAAACGCCAGATACAAACGGGGCCTACGGACCCCTCGTCATCCATGGCCCGTCCAGCGCCAACTGGGATGTCGACCTCGGCCCCTGGCTGATCTCGGACTGGTATCACGACGACGCCTTCAGGCTTCTCTACTACGAGTTCCAGACGGACCGTGCGGCCATCCCCAATTCCATGGTGCTAAACGGCAAAGGGCGCTTCAATTGCAGCACCACCGACGACCCGAGGTGTACCGGCCGCCGGGACCTGTACACGACCGTCTTCCAACAAGGAACCAAGTACAAGATCGCCATCGCCAACACCGGTACGCTTCTGACCGAGACCTTTTGGATCGACGGGCACAACTTCACCGTCATCGCCAACGACTTCGTGCCTATCGAACCGTACGAGACAAACGTGATCACGCTCGGCATCGGACAACGCTATGAAATTGTTGTGGAGGCCAATGCCGACCTCAGCAACGGCACCGACTTCTGGATCCACTCCCACTTCTGCGGCCTGCCCGAGCTCCTCGACAGCCGCGTGGGAATCATCCGCTACCGTGCCAACAGCACCGCCGATCCCCCCACAGGGCCGCCCGCCCATGTCAACTACGGGTGCGCCGACCCGGCGCCGGGCCTGCTCAAGCCCATCGTGCGGCGCCAGGTGGGCAACCGCGTCAACAGTCTCGAGCCGAGCGACTACCTCAAGATCGGGCTGCAGCACTGGCCCAACGTCAGCGACCCCAACAGCCGCATCCACCGCTGGACAATGCGCAACGTACCCATGCAGCTCGACTGGCGGCAGCCCAGCCTCAAGAAGCTCACGCGCGGCGGCGGCAGCGACAAGCCCAGCAACATCCCCAAGCTCTTCCCGCCCGAGACGGAGCCCACGGTGCTCGACTACGAGACGGGCGAGTGGGTCTACTTTGTCATCACCAACAACTACACGGTCGAGGAGGCCCGGCCGCCGCGCACGCTGCCGCAGTCGGTGCACCCGATCCACCTGCACGGGCACGACCTGGTGGTGCTGGCGCAGGGCGACGGCCCCTTCACCACGGACGTGGTGCCGCAGCTCAATAACCCGGCCCGCCGCGACGTGGTCAACTGCCCGATCGGCGGCTACGTGTGGATCGCGTTCCAGATCGACAACCCGGGCGCGTGGCTGATCCACTGCCACATCGCCTGGCACGCGAGCAGCGGGTTTGCGCTACAGTTTATCGAGCAGCCGGGCAAGATCAAGAAGCTGCTGCAGAAGAACAGGGCGCTGGGCCAGCTGGACGAGAGGTGTGACGAGTGGAGTCGGTGGTACACGACGGTCAATGAGAAAGTTGGCGCCGTGCAGGAGGATTCGGGGGTTTAGGTAGGGGCGTAGGGGACGATTTCTTACCTGCAATGAATCGCAGATCGGGTTGAAAATGTGGATGGAGTATGCCTGACTATTCCCTTGGTGGCTGGGGTTGAATTTCTTCAGGGGAATGAATGTCGCCCTCGCGGTAGGGAGCCGCTCCCACAGAGCAATGTTTGGATATAATTACCCAACAGACGCTATGTTCGGTTGGGTCTCTCCAAGGTGGGTGTTGTATTGCAGATTGTTGCGGGCCCCACAAGCCCCATACTCTGCAGACAGTCCTGGTTCTGCCACCCACACTTAGATTAGCAATTTGCAGGGCATCTTCAGGTACTTTGCCCTGCAACTACCAATTAATTCATCACCAACTTCGTTGCCCTGCCCTGCTTTTGCGTCCTTTGTGAGCATTATACAGATAGATAAATGCTTAAAGTGTTACCAGCTAACTTGGTAAATTTGCATTCGGCCTATGCTGTGCCCATACCTGGCGGTCTTCAGGAAAATCAAGAGTGTTTGCTCCCAGGCCTTTTCAACAGAAAAATGCAGGGCTTACATCAAAACCAGCGCCAGGCCCCACCGGAAACGCAGGGTTTCTTCCTGTGTGCCGGTTTAGAATAAGGACACTAACGCGCTACTACCCGGGATGACTTGCGACTTAGACCACTACATCACTTTTGCTCGACAACCGGCGTGTCATTGATACTCGTGATTTCAAGCTAATTATTCCTGGAGAGATTCCTGGTACCAAGAGTAGTGCTATTTGCCTCTCATGTTTCTCATAACTCCATGAATTGTCCTTCAATGCCCATCAACTGACACAGTGACAGCCTAAGTGAACCCGCCCTACGCGGCAACAGCAGGAACCGCATTCCACAGCGGATCAAAGCCAGCGCCCCAGATCCACTTGTCGTCCGGACCCAGCCCGAGCGTCGAGTCATAGGACAGCTGAGCGAGCTTGAACCAAGACTCTCCCTTGACGGGGAAGTTCTCGCTCCCCTCGCCCGTCTCGTACTTCCTCGACGACTCCTGGCCGTTCCGGATGGCCCGCACAAACTTGGCAACATGGCCGTCGTCGTGCGCCTTATTGACCACCTTGTACAAGCCCTGCCAGTCCAGCCCCTTGCTGTGTGTCGGCACATAGCCCTCGACCCAGTCGAGGCTCAGCTCGGCCGCGGCGCTGGCCGCGTACCAGACCAAGTCGACGCGCGCCTTGCGCTCGACGAGGCGCACCTTGTCGGCGAGGCTCAGCCACGGCAGCCGGTTGAACGTGGTGAAGAAGATGCTCGCGTTGACGTTGTGCATGTGGAAGAAGTCGATGCGGCGCGCCCGCCCCGCCCGCTGCGCACCGCCCGCCGAGAAGGCCGCCAGGTTGATCATCTCGGCCGTGGCGCGCTCGAGCGCCGCCTCGGTGTGCTGCGCCGCCACCCGCCACTGCGCCGTCAGCGCCGCGATCTCGGCGCCCGCTCGCCCCAGCACCCCGTCGCGCACCCGCACGGGGCCCTCCTCCACGCGCGCGGCGGTGCGGATCTTGTCGGTCGCGCGCACCTCGCGGTAGAGCGAGAGCAGGGGCTTGGGCGCGGTGTTGTTGCTGCTGGCCTCGGCGGCGAGCTTCTCGCTCTGCTGGAAGAAGGCCTCGAGGTTGGCCGAGTCGTGCACGGCGGCCTGGGCGAGGCCCTCGGCGATGATGGCCGGCAGCTCAAACTCGACGCCGAAGCCGAGATGGATTATGGGGTGGTAGGCGCCCTCGTACAGCTGCGCAAAGATGGTCTCGGCGTTGGGCGTCCCGCTGAAGACGTACTCCTGCAGCACGGCCTGCCATCCCTTGGCGGCGATCTCCTCCTTGAAGAAGATGAGGTAGTTGGTGTAGTGGTGGAGGTTGCCGATGTGCTGGCGGAACGTGTCCGGGTCGTGGAGGGCCTTGACCACGTCCTTGTCGAGCGGCGGGATGGGCCGCTGGATCGCTACGCCGTCGTCGTAGGCACGCTGGATCTCGGCCGGGCCGCCGCCAAGCGCGAGCACAGAGAGGATCGAGTGCGGGATGTGGTTGTGGCCGCCGACGTCGCGCCAAAAGATGTGGTAGTCGTCATGGTTGCGCTGGAGGAGCTCGTTGGCCCTCTCGAGGGCCCCCGGGGGGTTGCCCGAGATGCGACCCAGGCCAAGGTTGGGCGCGAGCTGGATGGGGGTGGCAGCCGTGGTCGCGGTCGACATGTTGATTGTTGACGGAGCAGTGAGGTTGGTTGTCCCTTGCCGATCGCTGTGTGGGTGTGGGTGTGGGTAATCGAACTCAAGTTGCTTTTCTTCGACTGTCTGAATTCTCCTGAAAACGGCGATGGCGTACCTCCACTTGATATTATCCGCTTTACCTTACGTAGAGAAAGTACCTTATACAGACTCGAGTGCCTATATGCTATTCAACCCGGGCGTGCGGAAACCGAATGTTGACGTATTTCGGCTTAAGATTTGCATTCCCGACATACAGTCCCCGATCCGCCCGGTCCGATGACACCACCACCACGAGAGCCGCGGTTGGAAACAGTCAGCAAGGTGGTACGTGAACTGCCTATGGGACTTAAACGCGAGCTTGGTACATGTACCTTGACCATAGAGCTCCTGCCCACATTATTCAGTTAACCCAAAGAGATCCCGTCATAGGAGGTTGGAATTACCCGCTGTATCACGACTCAGGAACTGAAGATGTCGACCACAACAACAACGACCACAGAGTCAAAGTTGGAAACCCCTTTCACCACGGGCGCAATCCAGCAAGATGCCCGCTTCTGGCGCGAGTACATCGCTTCTCGCCCGTCTCCCTCTGAGGACTTTTTCCATGTAATTCAGGAGTACCACTCCAGCCACGGTGATCCCACCACGGCCCTTGCCCACGATGTTGGCACGGGGCCCGGAAACATTGCCGAACGCCTGCTCCGGTACTACGACCGCGTGGTCGGGTCAGATGTCAACAAGCAAGCCCTGGCCGCCGCACCCCAGCTGATCTCGCCCGATCTCCTCAACAGACTCACGTTCGTCCACTCGCCGGCCGAGGCGCTCGCGGATGACGGCGTGGTGGATGCCACTGTCGGCGGCGCAGGCACGACCAATCTCCTGACCGTCAGCGAGTGCATCCCCCTCCTCGACGTCCCGCGCGCCCTCGGTGCCTTCCACAAGCTGCTACGGCCCGGCGGCACCCTGGCCATCTACTTCTACGGCCGGCCCATCTTCACCAGCGGGCCCGACCCGGCACGTCTGGACGCGCTGTATGACCACATCGCCACGCGCATCTGCAGCTTCCTCCTGCCGTTCAAGGGAACGCCGGGCTTCGCCTTCCACCAGCGCGCGGCCGAGGCGCTGGTCAGCCAGCTCGACAACATCGCGCTGCCGTCGCGGGAGTGGGAGCACGTCGTCCGGTACAAGTGGAACCCGGACGTGCCGCTGCTGTTCAACAGCAAGGACGGCTATGACTTTGACTTTGAGCCCGTTGACCGGCGGGAGAGTGGCGAGGTCACGAACGAGATCCACGACCGCACCTGGTGGCAGGACGAGTGGGATGCCGATCGCATCAAGGCGTACTTGGATTCGGTGTATCCGAGCTACATTGACAAGGCGGGAAGCCGGTATGCCGAGATTGAGCAGGGAATCGAGGAGTTCAGGGAAGCGCTGAAGGGCTTTGGAGGGAAAGCAACCGTGAGCTTCCCGGTCGTGTTGATTCTGGCCACCAAGAAATGATGCATGCATGTGCGTGGCAGTTCAGAAATTGCCAGCAGTTGTGGTGGACATGTTTTTTAGAGAGCTATCTAAGGAGTCAAAGTATGATGGAGTAGCAGCCCCAAGTCCAGTTTCAACGTTGGGTGAACGTGGATGTCTTTCTAGGAGGCCCCTCATGGCTTGAACCCATCTACAACCTGCCCATCCCGTATGTATTCCGTGATCCACCCTATCGTCATCCTGAGCAGATAGTCAATCAGCACGTCACTCCTTAAACCCCAGCCATAAATTCATCGCATGCACCTCGTGAAAACGGGCACTAGCTTGGTTGCATACATGTAAACTACTCACCTACTACGCTTGGTATCGGCAAACTTCTCATGATCGCCAACTAGATGCTCTTTGTACCACGGATCCTGCTTCATGCGCTTGTAGTCCTCAAGGCTCTCAAATACGACCTGGCTAAAGCAGTCATAGTCGGCCACGTTGGCCATCTGCGAGTCGTATAGCTCTGCCATGAGTGCCCTGGTCGCTGTGGTGTTGTGGATCTTTTTTGCTCCACATAAAACCCGGTTAGAGTTGGCCATTTTCCCCTTTCTTGATGTTCTTTCGCCTAACTAGGTAGGTAGGTAGGTATGGCTAGACAAACCTGCGTCCATCGCTTGACACCGTACTTGACCATGAGGTCCTTGGTCAGAGGCGCCGACACATGTGTCATGTGGTGGCGGTAATCCTCCTCGCTCATGCCGGGCTTGCGATAGCCGCAGATGGTGAGGCAGAGATACTCGACTTTTCGGACGCCACCGCTGTCATTTGCGGCATCGCTCTGGTTACCGCTAGCAGCAGGGGTATCTGGTGCTGAAGCCATGGTCTCCGCTCCGCTTCAATCCGGCTCTTGGTAATAGTTACAGACAAGGCTCGATGGGAATGGTAGACCAAGAAGGAGAGGTGGCGTATGACGAAGTCGCCATGGAAGATGCTCAGGAATTCGACGTTCTCAGCTCTCATCCCTCCATCGGTGCTCTGGACCTGTGGTTAACGCGGGTAGCCTGCCAAGACGATGCTGTCGGATTCCGACATTGGCATGGCCCACACCGAGCATCGGGAAACATTCATCGGACCGGCGTTCAGAAAATTGCGGGACTGCGCGCTCGGTCCGAAATGAGCAAAGGTCAACGCTGTATCTCCAGGTCAGTTCGGATTCCGATGCACCGGTAGTCAGGCTGTCGCCAGCAAGTTCAACTGGCCTCGCGAAGGACAGCGATAGCAGGGTGGAACCGTCGGAGTGTTGGAAAGCCAACAGCGACGATTCCACGGTGATCACACAGATGATGGGAGCTTACAACAGTCAGATTTGAGATGCTCGGAGCATCCCAGATGTTCTTGATTGAAGGTTGTTCTTCTCTCACGTCTCCAGCGAAGGGGGAATCGCCCTGACCTCGTTGCCCAGCGCCCTGGTTACCCCTCACGTTGCCTGACGCTCAGTTGGGCAGCCATGCATCCAACAGCAGGGCACTTGCAGCTGAGCGTCCGAAGTTCCAGTGCCACGACTTTCCAACACGGAGAACCGGTACGGAGGCACGAAGTACGGATAGCGTTGGGCTATCGAAAATGGCTTGCCTCTAACCCTACCTACTTGGAAGTGTCACGGCGGGACAGGCGGACAATCCAATGACAATTGTATTCGGGCTAAACTACAGTCTAGACTTAGTAGGTAAAACAGTCCGAGTTTTACACCAAGAAAAAGGGCGTGGTAGTGAGGGTCCTGGCCACAGCAACTGGACACGACTGAATTCTAGTATTTCCGATAGCTCCATGCCGTTAACCAAAACGTCTTGGAACTTATAGAACATCATATTCTACTCTAGCCCGGTGGTTTCTGTGAATGTGCTATCTTGCCACTAGACGTTCAAGAACCTTGAAATTATCGTCAATATGCGTAAGAACGGCAACACGAAATAGTAAGGTAATAATAGCAGCGAAGCCTCCTCCAGCGCGACAACCCGGAAATCCAATCTACCTAGTTGTAGTATTCTAGCAGCCAAGCTTTCAAATCTCCCACCGTTGGGTACTCCAAGAAAAGACTTCCTCCTACCGTAATGCCCAGCTCCTCGCGGAATTTCTCCGCAATCACTAGGCTCATCAGGCTGTCAATGCCCAAGCTGGGGAACGAAGCGTCGTCTTGCAGGTCTTCGAGCTCGAGGCCGGCCTCGTTCGCAACCAGGATCAATGCCTTGATAGCGGTGCTCTCGGTGTCAACCGCCGGAGCCGCAGACTCGTCCGGGTCAGAAGCAGCACCCCGGACAGGAGCAGGAGCGGGAGAAGAAGCCGGGGGCGGCGCTGAAGCCGGTGGAACGGAGGGAGCCCGAGGGGCGACGATGGTAGTCGCCTTCGGAGCGGCCTCCGCAACCGCAGCCTTCTCCTTGGTTGCCGGTGCCGCCCGATGCGCGCCAGCCGCCGGCGCCGCATGCTCCTTTGCCTCGTCGGGCGCCGAGAAGAACCTGCTCAGCAACAGCCGCGGGTACCTCCGAAACTTGATGCCGCCGACCAGCCCGACAATCACGCCCTCGTGCAGGACATAGACATCGCCCAGATACACCGACGGATCCTCGGCCGTCGGAATCATCTTGACGTACGACCGGTACCGCTCGCCGGCCGTGAGCGGGCGGGCAAAGCGCATGGAGCCCCAGCCGGGCGTGACGCAGAAATCCGCGGCCGTGTCGACCGCGTCCGACACGTTCATGACGAATCCGGCCAGGTGCGCCACGCTGTCGATGAAGAACGGCGGCACCGTCCATACGCCACCGCCACCACCGCCTGCCTTGTCACTACCAGTACCGGCGCCGCCGGCAAGCGTCACGTCGGCAAATGCCTCGAGCCCGTGCAGCACCACCGACTGCATGCCGCGGTACTTGGGCGCGTAGTTGACCAGGCTGGCGGCGAACAGGCGGTAGGCCATGGCGTGCGAGAAACGGTTGGCGGCGCCGGCCGCGGCCAGCTGCTCGAGCGCGTCGATGCGCCCCTGCACGAGGTGTGCCAGCGGCGCCCACGCGCCCAGCCACTCGGCCGCGCTGCCGTAGTACAGGTCGGCCGTAGCAAAGGACTCGCCGTCGTCAGCGGCCGTGGTGCCGTCCCGGAGGAGGTTGTGCCATGCCAGCTGCGCGTGGTTGGTGCCAATGTCCCCGGTCGAGATGGAGACGCGAATGAACTGCGGCGTCTTGGTGTTCTTCTGCGCGACCAGGCCCTTGCGGACTTCGAGGTTGGCGATGTTGAGGGACGGGACCTTGGAGGTGGACTTGAGTTTCTGGTAGAGATATGTGCCGAGGGTGAAGGCGATGTCGGCGTGGATGGACTGGTGTCAGGGTGTTTCAGCACATGTCACGTTCAAGGAAGACAAATGAGATAAACACTGGAGTAGGCGAGAATCCAAAGGCGAGAGATTTGAACTCACCGACGTCACTACGCCGCAACCATTCATCTTGTGCCCGTATGCCGCTGCGAGAAAGTCCGGTTGCATGAGGTCGGACCGTATGACCACCGTACCTGCAGCTCCATTGAAAGATTCCTCGACAATCTGTTGCACGGTCGAGGTAAGGAAGCTGGAGGGTGAGACCGGAGGCGCTGCTAGGGCGGCCTGCTGGCGCTTCTTCTCGTCGTAAAAGGTGTTTCCCTTGGTCAAGGCCCAGTCCCCGTTGTACTGGATCCAGTACGTCTTATCGTTCCACGCGTATGTGGGCAGGTCCAGGAGCCGGAGCGTCTTCTCAAACGGCCGATGGAATTCGTTCCACCCGATCTCGACTCCAGCGGCATGCAGCGCCGCAAGGCTCTTGGCGAGCGTTACCCAGTTGTCCTCGCCGCGGCGCAGCGACGGGACCGTGATACCCGCAGACGGCAGCGTCGCCTTGACGAAGCTCGTACTGACCGGGTGTGGTCCGATCTCAATCCAGGCCATGCTCTCATCAATGATCTGGATGTTCTGCGCTGTCTCAAGCGCAGCCAGGAAGTTGACCGTCTCTCTCGTAGCACGGCGCAGATAGTTGGCATCCAAGGTCCTCTCGTCAAAGACGACCTTTCCAAGCAGTGGTGAGATAACGGGGATGTTAGGCGCGTGGAAGATGACGCCCGTCCCGGCGAGCTCCTCGAAGTCGCCGAGAATCGGATCCATCTGGGCGGAGTGGAAGGCAAAGGCGACATCCAGGACTGTGCTCTTGTAACCCGCTGCCTCCAAGGGCGCAACGAGATGCTGGATCTCCTCGGCCGTGCCGCTGAGGACCGTCTCCTTGGGCCCATTGAGGCATGCGACCTCGTATGGTTTGCCGGCAGCAACTTGCTCGATCTGGGCGAGTGAGGCTCGTACGGCAAGCATCTTGTGGCTTCCAGTTTGGCACTTCTCCTCCAACAGCTTGGCGCGTCTGCCGACAAGGAAGATTGCATCGTGGGCCGAAAGAACGCCGGCGACCTGCAAGGCGGCGTATTCGCCCAGGCTATGGCCCACGACGACTTCTGGCTTGATGCCCAGGCTGGCCCAGTACTTTGCCAGAGCAATCTCGGTCGCAACCAGAGCCAGCTGGGTTACCACGGGCGAGTGTTGGTAGTCCTGAGCGTGGCTGCCGTCGATGGCCGGAACAAAAGAAGGGAAGCCGTGGCCCTGTGCCAGTGTGTCGAGGCGCAGAATCTCATCCCTAAAGGTCGGCGAGACGTGGAAGAGTTCGTAGTTGGACGACTTGTACGCTGATCCCTGACCTGTGAAGGAGAAGATGACCGACGGCGCACCGGTTGTTGGGATGGGCTTGTGAGAGTCGACCGACTTGATGTACGAGTTCAGTTGCTTTTTTATTTCGTCGACGCCGGACGCTGCCGCGGCCACTCTGTGATTGTGGTGGTGCCGTCTTGCCGTTGTTGTATACGACAGGTCAGCTAGCCGCACGTCAGGGTGCTTCTCCAGGTAAGCAAGATAGCGTTCCAGGTTGCCTCGCAGAGACACCTTGCTCTTGGCCGAGATGGTGACGACGTGAGTGCTGCCGCGAGGATCTGGGCCGCGCTCAGCTGGTCGCACAGGGCCTTCTTCGATCAGAAGGGTGGTGTTGCCACCGGCAGCGCTGAAGTTGTTGATGGCGGCGATGCGCTTTCTGTCCGGGCTGCGGACCCAGGGGGTCTTCTCCCACGGAATGCGCAGGTTCCTCTTGTCCAGGTCCTTGGGAAAGTTGGGATTGATGGCCGTCTTGACGCCAACATGGGGCGAGATTGCCTCCTTCTCGAACATGAGCAAGACCTTGAGCAAGGCCGTGACACCGGCAACAGCCTCACCGTGGCCCACGTTTGCTTTGACGGCGCCGATATACAGAGGCTGCTTGGAACTGCGCCGGTTGCCGGTGATAGGTGCATAGACGCTCGAGACCGACTGAATCTCCTCACGGTCGCCGGCTTGCGTCCCGGTTCCGTGCATCTCGACGTAGCTGACGTCGAGAGGGTTGACGCCGGCTGCCGCTAACACTCTGCTCGAGAGATATGCCTGGGCGCCCGCATGCGGATGCGTGATGGAGACTGCCTCGGCCGAGTGGTTGGTGCCTGCGCCCAGGATAACACCGATGATGTTGTCGTTGTCTGCCTCAGCATCTTCCAGGCGCTTCATAACAATGGAGCCGATGCCATCAGCACGGCAGTAGCCGTCTGCCTCGGCATCCCATGTCTTGCACGCGTTTGGCGTTTTGGACAGAAAGTGGCCGTGACTGAGGCCGGCGAATGCGTCCGAGTTGGTCAGCACATTCATCCCTCCTGCCACGACGGTGTCTGTCTCGCCGTTCCAGAGAGACGTGCAAGCAGCCTGTCAGGGGCAGGTTAGCAATGATGGCAACAGATTTGCCGTTTAGGAATGGGAGTGAGGGGCGTTTTGTTGCCAAGGGTTCAACGAGTTCAGGGGTTCAGGGGTCCAGGGCAATTTGGTTCAGAGGCTGCGGGGAAAACAAACCTGGATGGTGGCCAGACTGGACGAACAGGCCGTGTCAATGCTGTAGCTCGGGCCCGAGAACTTGAAAAAGTAGTTGATCCGGCCTGGACCAAATGCTCTACAGCCGCCAGGGATAAAGTAAGTGCTGATCTCCTGGGCCGTGTTCACTTCGCGATAGTCGTCGCTAGCCTGCCCGTAAAACGTCCCGACGCGGTGCAGATTGGACGAGGCAGTACGGTTGGGCACATAGCCTGCTCGCTCCAGAGCCTCGTATGCCGTCACGATGGCAAGGCGTTGCATGGGATCTGTTTGCTGCGCTTCGCGTGGGCTCATGTTGAAGAAAGGCGCATCGAACAGGCCAGGCTCGTCGATAAAACAGCCATACGGCGTATGACTGGCATTGACATTCTTACCCGCCGGATCGTAGTGCGAGTCAACATCGAATCGGTCGGCGGGAATCTTGCGATGGACGTCTAAGCCCTTCTCCAACAGCTCCCAGAACTTCTCCGTGTCGGTTGCGCCGCTGGGCATCCGGCATGACATTCCCACGATGGCAATCTTGGATTGACCGGGGCCTCTTGGCGAGGCAGAATGGGGGGGCGTGTCAGTGACCCACGAGACCAGGTCCGTCGTCGTGGTCTCGACATGCGGCAAGCCGAGCTTGACGGTAGCAGTGAGGTCGTGGATCGGCAGGGAGATGCGGAAGGCTTGTGTTGGAACCTGCAGGGCGACGACCGCTGAGATATGCGTTGGAAGAAGCTATTCCCAGTCAAAGCAGTGTATCGATTTCTTAAGGTGGTAAAAAGTGATTGATTTTTTTCATGCTGTTGATGGGCATGGGAGAGGACTAAGTATGTAAGGAAGAGGGGTTGCAGTGCTGGCACCAATCAACCACCGAGGTCCGTTGAATGCAGCCATCAAGGCAGCTTCGTTCCGACACACCCCCCCAGGTTGATACATGTCCAGTATCAGCCTGACCCAGTTGAGGCTATTCCCGCCTCCCAGTTCGGCTCTGCACTGGGCATTCTTGGTGTTGAGGGGCACCTCGGCATTACTCTTCCTGTTCTTGCCCGGCCTTGTCCAGGCCGGCTAACTGGGCGTCCCTTGCACTGATGAGGCTTTTGATGCCTACCAAATTCAGCATCGTGATGAAATTTTGATGTTTTCCGTAGCTTAGAGCCTTCGTCAATCCATCTGCAACCATACCGTTGGTCGGCTGGTAAACCACCCGAATTCTTCCTTGTTGAGCTTCTTGACGTAGCCAGTGGTTGTGGATATCCACGTGCCGTAGTCTGGTCTGCAGGGCGGCCACCTCTGCGTTCACTAGTCTGATCGTTTGGCTGTTGTCGCACTGAATCGTTAGGGCGGCTTCGTCCTGGATTGACAAGGCCGTCAAAAGTCGCTGAATGAACAAGCCTTCCTTGGCTCCCTGTGCTAAGGCCAGCAATTCGGCCTCTGTTGTCGATGTGGTGACCGTATCCTGCTTACTGGCCCTCCACGCGATCAATCCTCCGAACAGCGAAATGGCGTATCCTTGGGAGCTCTTGCGATCAAGGCTGTTGTCCGCAAAGGACGCGTCTGTCGCCACAACCAGGGAGGCATTCCCACCCCCCAATTGTAGGGCCAAGTGCCGGGTGCCCCGGAGGTAATGGAGCACCCGGTCCGCAGCCGCATGGTGGGCTGGACTAGGGTTGTGGTTGTACCTTGCAAGTCTGGATACTGCGAATGCGATGTCCGGCCTGGTGGTGACGGCTGCGTATAGCAGCGAGCCGACCTTTCGTTGATATCGGCCAATCGATGCCAAACTAGTGATGCCCTCGTGTGGCAGCAGTTCTTGTGCCGTTATCGGGGTCCTTGGGTGCTTGCGTGCCTTTGTTTGAGCCAACCGAGCAATCTTGTCGACGTAGGCTGACTGGCTCAACCAGATCAATCTTCGTCGCCTGTCGCGATGGATATCAATGCCAAGGAACCATTGCAATTGGCTCCCGCCTGTGAGCCGGTATTTGGAGCGAAGGTTCTTGATGACTTCGTCTGCGCGTTGTTGGTCTTCCTTACGGTGAGCGATGACGATGTCGTCCACGTAGTAGAAGATCAGGATGCCGCTGTCGTTGTTGATCAGGATACAGGGTTCCTGCGGCACTGCTTCGAATCCAAGGCTTGCGAGTGTGGCCGTCAGCTCCTTTTGCCAGAGCAATGGCGACTTGCGTAAGCCGTATAGAGCTTTCTGAAGCTTCAAGACGGCGCCGGGCTTCCTGTAGCCCCAAGGCATCTGGATGTATATATCGTCGTCAATGGGTGCGTTGACGAAGGCGTTGACTGCGTCGAATTGCGTGAGCTCGAGGTCGTATCTTGCTGCGATGGCCAGCATTGTTCTAAACGACCGGGCGGCCAACGTGGCTGCGTAGTTGTTTTCGGTCAACTGGCGATGCTGTTGATCGCCTCTGACAACCAGCCTCGCTTTGCACTTGCCCAGATGCCCAGTCTTACTGCATTTGTAGGTATATACCCACATACAGTCAAGAACCTGATGTCTGCGAGCCTCCTTGCGCGGCACTTCCTTCCAGGAATCCATCTGCATATGGCTTGCAAGGTGGTCGACCTCTGCTTGTTTGAACAGGTCGCCAAATGGATGACTGTCAAGCTGGTTATGCCGTTTTGGTTCCGGTGGAAGTCTTGACTGGTGGATGGTTTGAAGGCCCCCTGGTTGCTGAATCAGACGATTGATCTCTGCCTTGGTAACTGGGCTTGATGGCTCTGTCGGCTGCGGTACTTCCCTGCCTACGGCCATCTGACCGGGCGATTGAGGTCTGTTGGCGAGGGTGCCTGCTGCAAAGGCTGCCTTCCACGGCTCGAAAATGCCAGGGACAGAGGTGCCGGGGCCGGTTGGTTCTTGTTGGTTGATACTGAGGCCTGCGAAGGCGGCTACAAGCAGTGCGGCTGGAGGCGTTGTTGGAGGTGTTGGATACTGGAATTCAGTGAAAGTGAAGGACTCGTCGCCTTTGACCACAATGGTATCCTGAACGACGTCGTCGTCGTTGTTGGCTATGTGGACCACGTCTTCGTCTTCCTGGTTGCCTTCAGGGGTCAAAACTTCGTCGTCTTCTTCCTGGGGACTGGGTTGCTTATTTCCTTGGTTGTTGAGCCACTTCTTGAGCTGCTCGAGGTCCACCTGCGCCAAGTCGTGGGCCAGGACCTCTGCCCTGCCAGGAAAGGTTTGTCGCTCGTCAAAAGTTACATCCCGGGTCCGTACTACTTGGTTGGTAGCCGGGTTCCAGATGCGGAAGATGTTGGAAGAATCGTATCCAACGAGGTATCCTACCCATGCCTTGGGCCTCAGCCGCTCAAGCCTCCTTTCTTTCTTTAAGGCGGTCATCGTCATTGCATAGGCCTTACAGCCGTAGACTTTCAGATGGCCCTGATGTGGTTTGAACGACGACTGCGTGCTGTTATTCAGAGCCGTATGGAAGCGTTCGTATGGCGATTTCCACTTGTTGATCAACTTGGGGGTCCTGTTGTGGAGGTAAACCGCGGCTCTGGTGATTTCCGGCCACAATTCCCACGGCAGGTTTGAACCCGTAGCCATGGCTCTGGCACGCTCCTTAATGACACCCCCCGAGCGTTCGGCGCCTCCGTTCTGTGCGGCTGTCTCTGGTGCGGAAGGCTCCATCCGTATACCCTGCTGGGCACAGAAGTCTTGGATGGTTGATGACTGGGCGAATTCGTTGTCGGTTTCAAGGACCTGGGGCTGTATTTTGTGTTGCCGTTGGAAAAGATTGAACAGGTGTTTGATGGCCGTCAGGATGTGTGAAGCCTCTCGCGTGCGAAGGTAATAGTCCCAGGCCATGCCAGAGAATCTATCGGTTGCCAGCAGTAGATACTTGTAGCCACCGCGGCCCTGACTGAATGGATGGATGTCCCACGCAATGCGTGCTCCTGGCTGTAGATGCTCAGTCCTTGGTATTCTTCGTGGCATACGCTTGGCCTTTGCCAGGCCACAACCGTCGCACTGCACAGTCGTAATGCCCTTGATCTTAGCTCCGCGTGAGCAATTGACGAAATGTTCGAGTGCCCTTGGGCCGGCGTGGCCCAGCCGTAGGTGCCAAGTCATGGCATCTGTAGAGCTGGCTGCCCGGGTGGTTTTGCGATTGAGCTTGTGGCGTCGGGTGGCAAATGCGGCTCTGGCTGGGCCTTCCGGAACGTATTCCAGGACGAATTGGTCGAAGTGGTCGGATAGGAAGCCCAGGATAGCTCTGTCAGGCCCACGAAGGCAGTTGTTCCCTGGACTATTGTCCCACCAGATCCCGCGGTTGTTCAATCGTCTGATTGATACAACACTGCAAGCAAAGGTAGGGCAAAAAGCCACACCGGTCAGCGCCAAGATTTGCGTGCCGTTAGGACTGCTTAACTGGATTTCAACACTGCCATAGCCTTCAATTTGAACGGGGTGTTCCCCGGCCCACACACAGTCTGTCGGGGCGGCCAGCTTAGGTGCGGATTTGAACCGCTGTAGGCAGTTGACAATATGGATGGTTGAGCCTGAATCGAGTATCGCCGAGTTGATTAGCGGGTACTGTGATGAGGTCTGAAATGCGCCTTGGATGGCTGCAAGAGCTGCAGAAATGCGGCCCATTGACCGTCTGGTCGGTTGTATTAGTCGGTCATCCATATCTAGGATGCCGTTAGAATCGTCAGGTCCCATCTCCAGGGAGTTAGACGTGCCCCTCTCCAGGGCGGAAGCGCTCTTTTCCAGAGGCTTGTTCTGGCCCATATCCAGGGCATCGCCAGTTCCCATGTCCAGGGAGGCGTGGTTGGCCAATTGGCCATCAAGTCCCATCTCCAGGGTGCTTAGAGTGCCTATATCCAAGGCTGTGCCCAAGTGGGCGGGTGCCGGGCCCATATCCAGGGCACCGGC